CCAGAACCCCCAGGGGGAAGGAGCCTGACACCCTCACACAGACATACTACACAGGCAAAACACCAATGCACATAAAAAAAAAAAAAAATTTATTTATTTATTTTTTTTTTAAGAAAAGAGAAGAAGCTTTGCTCTTGTGAGTAATAGCTTGTCTGACATGTGCAGGTCCAGACTGCCCCACCTGGACAAGACAGTGCTAGGAAAATAGCTACAGGGAGAAGCCAACTGTAGAAGAAAATCTTGGTTGTCAACTTCACTACATCTGGGATTAACTAAAACCTAGATGGCTGGCCACACCTGTGAGGGATTCTTTCTTAATGAAATCATTTGAAGTGGGAAGACCCACTTCTAATCTTGATCTTTGGGGTGGGAAGAACACCTTTAATCTGGGCCACCCCTGCGGGCAGCCTATATAAAGGATATGGGAGAAGAAAGCACTCTGCCTTTGCCTGCTTGCTCTCGCTCTCACAGCAAATCCATTCCTTCACTGGCATTAGAGCCCACTTCTGCAGTATTTCATCAATATTGAAGACCAGCTAAGACATCCAGCCTCGTGGATTGAACAATTACTGGATTCTTGAACCTTTTATTCATAGGCAGTCATTGTTAGATTAGCTGGACCACAACCTGTAAGTCATTGTAATAAATCCTCTTTCTAAATATAGAGAGATAAGTTCTGTTCCTCTAGAGAACTTTGATTAATCCACTGACCTTCAGGGGAAGGTTTTCTAGCAGAAGGACCCAACTGGAATAAGCTCTTTGTATAACGTGTCTTTGTCACTCACATTAATTACTGAGTCTCAACAGTGATTTGCCATATAAGATATAAGAGAAAATACAGAACTTAAAGGTATTGGAGTAGATGAAAAAGAAATTCACTAAAATTGGCCTGGCAAAGAGGGGAGTTCCTGAGGTATCAAAGTCAGAATATGTAAGAAACTAATGACAGAGGAAGACTGGGAACCCCTATGACTTCCAGTTACATGCAACAAAACAGATCTGTTTCTCAGAGAACCCTGATTAAAACAGTTCTCTATAATAAAATAGGCAGCTTGATTGCCTGACCATGAAGGCTGCCACTAGTAAACATTGCTAGTGCTGTTTCCGGTGCTAAGACTGGGCCAGAGGGCACAGGGGTTGGATCTCAGGCTCTCTGGACTTCTGATTCCTGTTTTTGCTGAACTCATGGAAGAGCTTTGCAGTGTGTGCCGTAAGGGAAGCTGAACTGGAAGAAAAAACTGGTGTCTCAAGGACCTCTGTGATGCTCCAAGGACCTCAGGCATCCAGCACTTGGACTCTGAACACAGGCCCAGGCTCTGACCAACTCTTATAGGCAGCATGGCGGGCCCAGCTAAAGTTAGTAGACTGGCTTTTTATTTCCTCTAAAAGTGTGAAGCCTGTTCAGCTTGCCAAATTTTAATCTCTCAACCATGTTTCTTGTAATATTTTGAACTTCTTTGTCAAGACTGGGTGTAAATTCTGTGTTTCTGAAAAGTAATGGCACATTAATATACCTTTGAATGCATGAAGTATCAGTAGGAACCAACCCCACAGCCCATAGTGTTCTTCCAGAGAATTAAAAGCTAAGTGCACACTTCCTCTTGAGCAGCAAGCAATCTCAAACCCTCACACCATCATCGCCTCAAGTCTTAAAGGTCACTTGTACAAAAGAAAGGATTTTAAAGGTAGATTTCCAAAGCTGACTGTATAGTTCAACTCTAGAATACTTACTTTGAGGACCTAGGTTCAATCCCCAGAACCTCTTGTTAAAAGGTTGTTGAGTGAGCTTAATAGGAATTAGAAAGTAGTGAAAAATCCACATTTACATGTGCAGAATTTTACTCTGACCAAAATCATAGCTTACTTCTGGTATGCTCTCTTCCAGTGTGATATAGTTATTCAGTGATGAATAATGGAAAACTGCCCCCTCCAAGACAGGGTTTGTCTGTGTAGCTTTGACTGCCCTGGAAATCACTTTGTAGTCAAGGCTGGCCTTGAACTCACAGAGATCTGCCTGCCTCCGCCTCCCAAGTGCTGGAATTAAAGGCTTGTGCCACCCCCTAATCTCTTTCCCTACCCCCAGCTCAAATCCAGGCTATCAGGCTTGCACAGCAAGCACCTTTATCTACTGAACCATCTCACCAGCCCCCTAGTTAATTTCTTATGGGTTAAATTATGTCAGGATACACTCATGGATGTCATAGACATTATCCAGGCATACTAGCCTTAACAGAGAGTGGGAAAGAGAAGGGTAATATGAATTTTTCCTGAGAGCATTTTTCAATTTTCTTGAGAAAGTAGTTCTGAAATGAGACAGGATGCTTCCCAGCCATACCTGAGATGCTGCAGCATTCTCAGTTGGGCTGAGCTTTGCTTTGGAGGACATGCCAAGTGGCTATGCACTTCCAGCCCATGTAGATCTATAGGGCTCGGGCTCATTTGACAAGACCATGATGGAAATCAAGCAGTGTGGTCTAGCAACGTAATTTTTACTAAGACTGCACTGCAAGCAACTCCTAGTTAGGTCATATGATTTTTGTTACTTTATAGCCAGTTTCCATTTAGCTTAACTATTTTTACCTCCAACTACAAGCTATACATTGCACTTATCAGATGGTATTCTGGAGTGACATCATTGGCCACAAAAAAGCTAGCAATGTGGCAATCTTACATGCCTATTGTCTTAGGG